TGCTTGTTTATTTCAGTAATATTTTACTAAAATTGTCTATTTTAATTAATCCTCCGCCGTGCTGAGGCTCAGTATCAAGCCTGACCTGCTCACATTCTTCATTTGTCAAAATGATTTTTCCCCGATAGTGAAAGCCTCATGCTCTTCAAATATCCTGACGCTTTCCACATGTGACAGTGAGGGCTGTGCGAACAAAATCGCACACAGCTGACACAAATCGTTCTTTACTGCGCCTCACATAGTTTGTATGTATGACAATATGCGACGTTATATGACGATTGGTGAGATGTATTTCATATGCCAAACAAAAGTGAACGTGTGTGTGTTTTTGAGAGCAGGCTGTGGGTTTATGGGGCATCAGGCTACACAGATTTAAGGAGAATTCATCCTGATAATCTGCTCCAAACCTGTCTTTCACGTGAATAGATTACCATTAGGCATGGAGACGTTTAGAGCTGTCACGTGACAGGGCACTAAACGCCAATTTTGCATATTTAATAATATGGATAAGAAATAGTTTTAGATAGAAATTGTAGTCGTTATGTTACTCGGGTTGTAGACTCAATTTTGTCAAGTTAGCATTTTCATTCAATTTTAGTATTGCAAAAATATTTTTGATATTGTTTCTGTTTTTATATTGCAAGTTGATAACACCAGCTAGGAGTATTTTTTATTTATATTATTTTTATATTATATTTATAATATAAATATATTATTATATTTATTGTTGCATGTATGTAGTTACTCGTATTTACTTTGAAAGCTTGATTGTAAGCAAGAGCGAGAGAAAGAGAGATACATGCTTGTGTCAAACTGCACATATTATAAATGAGTGTCACGATGCCCCGTCTATTATTTGTATTTTGAGTTTAATTCGTTTGTAAACAATTAACGCAAACGAATTCATTTTTTGTGGCCACCACCATATGTGGGGTGTCTGCCGACTGATACAGTTGTCGCATATAAACAACACAGTTTGGAAAGGATTGTTCTTTCCTTCCATTGTGTGCAGGCGGATCTATCCACAGCAGTGCCAAGAAAATGCTGTGCCGGAGAGCATGGGTAGGCTTCATATCTCTGCCGTTGCCCTGTATAGAGAGATCACGGCTGAGATATCAAGTTCAGGGGTGCTTGAGAGTTTCAGTGCAGACCTCTTGACTTACAAGAGGTGGAAACTTGTTGAAGGTTTCATCTTTGCGACCATTTATGTGCTCTTGATTTTGCCCATATTTTACTCTCAGGCAGCAGAGACTGTAGATGTGAAAAACGAGCCACAGGCCTGGATCTCACGGCTTATGGGAATTGCAACAAGTGTAGCTATTATATGGAGAAGCGCGAATCGAACAGCAAGGCTAACTCCACTACGTTTTTAAAGATGTTGAATGACTTTAAAATGAAGGAGCAACTGCGGAGCGATACCAGTTCTTTGGATGGTAAGATCGGTGAGTTTCTTTTTTGCCTGCACAACGGGATGGTCGGCTTTCCCATCTCCTGACAGGTTTGGAAGAGTGTAAGCTAATTTTGCAACGCCTTTGTTTCTGTGTCTGTCCAGGTTCGAGACTGTGTTTTCAGTTTTACATTTTTATGATATTATTATGGCTACATGTTCTCCACTTGATTTTATGAAACATGTTTGCTGCTACGACGCATAATTTCTAACATAAAAACTCTTTCAAATTACGTTGTTATATTTCATGCTTCTGGGGCAGTTTTGTGTAGTCTTGTTGTTCATTTTATTTAGTTATGTTTTATGTTGTTGTCTTCAAAATTATGTTTCGATTTAAAGAGATATGAATAATCCCTGTGTTCATTTATGGCGTACAACACTGAAACTCTCCCACTAGTTTTCTGAATAAACCTCTAAGAGAATTCTTTAGTCGTTATAAAAATATAAGTAGTGTTTAATACGAATATACAACCCCAGCAGGTTCTGTCCTCTTTATTCACTCAGGCGATTCTCTTGATTTACTGAAACGAACCATTCTAGGGAAAACGTATAAATAAACAAGAGAAGAAATTCATTTTTTATGTATTCGCAAAAAAGAAGTGAATTTATTTTTTTGTTACCAGGTTTGCAGATTTTTTCCAGTAGAATGGACATATATTTTTTGTGCGCGTACATGATGACCTCTATATTCCAGCAAGAGCTTTGTGACATGCAGGTTCGTCTGGGTAGCGCTTTATTTGGATGACTTGGACATTTAACAAATAATTCATATTCCCGAGTTACAGGGCTATGTGCAAATCACAGTCGCAGTTTTGGGAGCATTCTCCCCTTTTACATCAGCTGTAGCCTCCTCGTTCATGCGGCTCATGTCTGTTCTGTTGTCAATCAGGCGCTGACTTTCGACAGCAGGCCGTGTGTGAGGGCTGCGCGCAGATCATTTCAGACCGTTTCCTGATGAGGGTCAATGGCGCGTCCTGGCACCAGAAGTGCCTTCAGTGCGCTGCGTGCCAGCAACCGCTCACCGACACCTGCTACTTCAGAGACACAAAGCCGTACTGCAAGGGCGACTACCAACAGTAAGAACGCTTCTCTGTATCCATGGACTTGGCCTCTGTGGGCCCAGTCAGCCAGTGGCTCAAATTAAAGAAAAGAGTATAAACTGGGTTGTTTTTGTTTATTTGAAGGCGCTTTTTATGCAAATTTAACCTTGAGCACGTTTTATAATCTGGCTTTTTTGTTGTTTAGTCCTAGCACATTGGTTAGTACGTGAAAAGAAGGAAGTGCCTTTCTGTTTATTTTTTACGGGTTACATTTTTCCATGTGCACCTTGACTCCTAAAAGATGTCTTATTTATTTGTTTTTGAAAGGCGTTTATTCTTGATTCATAAAATAATAAATATTAAAATTTAACAATTCCATAATTAATTGTAATGCTTCCAGTAATTTTATTTTAAATGGAGCTACTGGCATCCCAGAAATCTCTTTAATACAGTTCTAAGTATCCACTGTGGTGCATTGATGTAAACGTTCTTTTAAGGAGTTAGAAATTAAAGTTTAGTTATTACCTTATTTGGAAGATAGAAAATAAAAGAAGAAATTGATGCGTGTTATCATAGGGGTCTGTAATCTTTGTTATCAAAAGATTCATTATTTAGAAACTTTCATCATAAAACGTCTGTATGGAGCTGCCTTAACGGAAGATAACACAGTTTAATCAGGTGCCTCTACTCTTGTCTAGAAATGCCACTTACCCTGCCCACAAAGGGATTTGTGTCTCTTATCAAACTGGGGATCTTCTGATTGTGAGGTAAATCTGTAAACCTGAGGTATTAGTAAACCTATGGAGCCACTACTCTGTCATCTGTGTAAATTAATCATATTGAAAGTAGCTTATTGGGACAATTTGCTGCAGATGTCATAGCCCATCTTTGATGGTATCTATGAAGTAAGGATTCATGGATTCAGAGTAAAGAGCTCAACTTCACTGGCAATAACTGAAGCAACTGAAGCAATAACAAATGCACTAGACATACACACACACACATATATATATATATAGGAGATTTCTTAGCATTGATACTTGACAATAAAATCAGTTGGAAACCTCATATCAGACATGCTAGAAATAAATGATCAATCAATCAATCAATCAATCAATCAATCAATCAATCAATCAATCAATCAATCAATCAATCAATCAATCAATTACTTGAACACCTTACTGTGAATGTCTTCGTGCACCACCCGTCTAAAGCAAATGGCAGTCTAAGTGTCTTTTCTAAGATGACATAAAGATCGAACTGCTCACCAGTTGTGAATTTGCTCTGTTTCTTTTATCTGCACATGGACGGTTCTCACCAAATGAAGCGTGGTTTCTCTGAAATGTCTTTCCACAATTTTCTTTTTTCAATTAATGAATTAATGTATTTGTTGTTGTTTGCAACTTCTCACTACAGGTTAAGCATACCAAACAAAGACAATTTTAAATAAACTGTATTATTTTACTCTGTTACTTTTTCTTTTGGAATCCAGACCTGGGGCCACTCAAAACTAGCCTTTGATGCATTTCTACTAACATTGCTATTAAGGTTCAATAAAATTAAGAGGATAAGGCATCAGGTGACAGATGTAGGCTATGAAACACATTTTAATTGATACCATTTTTTCCTTAGTTTTATTTTTTAATACTTTAAAGACAGCATATAGGCTACACATTTGATAAATAATTAATAATTAGTTGCACAACCATTGTTCATTTTCATAGTGAAAATAATGTATTTATGTTAAAGCCACTCAAAATGAGTAAAAGAGCTGAATGTTGTTGGAAACCTGTTGGTGGCATGTATCACAAAACTATTTTCAGGATTTTTTACTGAACATACAAGAGCCAGTAATCGCACTGACTGCAAGAGTTTCAATAGAGCATTATAATAAACCCAAGTGGGGACTGTCCCTTGAGAGCATCGTTGACCCACTATTGATCATGTGCCTCATCACATGCAGATAGGTGTGAAAAGGGGTGTGGGTCATTATCAGCAGAGGTTTCAGGTGAAACCACTGCCTTGCCTCACCCTATCATATGCCCTTGAGATCACCTAACGCAAGATGTGAGTGGACATTAGGGTGGCTGGGAAAAGATCTCAAAATCGCATTGTAGTGACAGACAGTTGTTGTCGTAAGCCCTCTGTTCAAAAATGGGAATTCACACTGGACATAAATGGCTTACTTTACTCCTCTTTCAAACCATTTGTCTTTTCTGTCCAAAATTTGAACATCGGCATCCTTGAAAAATTAAGTTTTATTGTTTAAATGCAGATGGACAGTTGAGTCATGTCCTGTCGAGGTGGCTCTTTTATGCTGTGCCATGTATTTATAGTGTGGCTCATTGGTTTTTGCAATATAGAGGTCTGAGCACTACTTGCTGCACTTCAACGCAGACACTATGTTGTTTAGCTTGTCTTTGGGAGTTTTGTCCTTGGGATAAACCAATTTTTGTCTGAGGCTGTCACTGGGTGGGAAGTGCACAGGGATGTCATGCTTTAAGAAAATTCTCCTGAGTTTATCTGCTAAGCAAAACATGGCAATGTTGTTCTGTTTGGCTTTCTGTTTCTCGCTAGTTAGTGTCTGACCTTCTTTTTTATTCATCTTTGTTGATTTGATGAAAGCCCAATTGGGATAACCACATGTTTTAAGAGCTTTCATTAAATGTGTGTGTTACTCCCACTATTTGTTGTGTTGCTGGAGGGGGAATCCTGCAGCTTGGTGGTCTTGCCTGTTGTATTGAGGCGTCTTCCAGACAGGAGCAGCACACTGATAGCGGGCTGACTTACTGTCACATTATCTCTATATGGGATTTTCTTTGGGCCTGTCTGCTCCTCTTAAAGCACCATTGTCCACTCTGAAGGTCACCATATCATCTGAAGGTCTTCTACAAGATGTGACTACAGCACTATAAACAATCTCTACTGCGATCATCACCGAAACCAAGCAGGTGATCTACAACTCGGCATCAGTGATGACTGAGATGCTTGACTATAAGACAAACGAACACAAGGTAAATGGACTGATAGCGCTTTTCTTCTCTCCTGGAGTACTCCAAGCACTGTATACAACATGCCTCATTCACCCAAGCACTTTCTTCTATACACAAGTGCAGTCTAAGCAACATTCACACACATTCATTCATGCTCCGATGGAGCTAACTTGGGGTTACTATCTTTCCCAAGGATATTTGGCATACAGACTGGGGGAAGCCAAGGATCAAACCACCAACCTTCCAGTCAGTAGCTGATCTCCTCTACCACCTGAGCCACAGCCACAATGTCATGTAAGGAATTGTGTGATGTAATTCAAGTAGGCAAAAACAAGGTGATTAATGATATCCCGAATGGCGTCATTGACAAGTGCCTGGAAGACAGAAAGAATGTTAGTCAGTGAGTTTGTTATGTATTTCTCCATGTCTTCTTTTTCCTGTTTGGATAAACTATATAAACTGCTGGTGGGCAAAGGTCCACTAGGATAAAGGTTGATAGCAAATTGATAGTTGATAGTAAATTCTGTGAGGAGGAAGAGAAAGAGAGACAGGGCTTTTTTAAAAAATACTTCATCTAAACAAGATACACGGGGTACTGAAGCTAGATCGGGCAAGACACTTCACCCGTAGCCTACTGGTGGTGGTCAGAGGGACCGGTGGCGCCAGTGTCCGACAGCCTCGCCTCTGTCAGTGCGCCCCAGGGTGGCTGTGGCTACAATGTAGCTTGCCATCACCAGTGTGTGAATGGGTGAATGCCTGGATGTGTAAAGCGCTTTGGGGTCCTTCGGGACTAGTAAAGCGCTATATAAATGCAGGCCATTTACCATTTAGATCAGGTGGAGATGGGGGAGGCTAAGAGGAGAATGATGGATAGTATTTTTCAAACAGAATTGATGACAGTGACTGCTCCAACCAGAAATAAATGTTTTTTTTCTCTATTTAGTGTTGAGATTATTCTCTCTTAGCCATGAATGACCGAGGACGAGAGGAGCGAGTGGTGCAACAAATAGATAGAAGCATATTTGTTCTGTGTGGTTGCCTTAGACCAGGGCTGCCCAATCCCAGTCCTCAAGAGCTACTATCCTGCAGCTTTTAGATGCATCCCTACTCCAACACAGCTGAATCAAATGGTTTGATTACCTCTTCAGCATGCCATCATGTTTGGCAAAGGCCTGATAACAAGCCATTCATTTGATTCGGGTGTGTGGGAACAAGGATGCATCTAAAAGCTGCAGGACGGTAGCTCTCGAGGACTGGGATTGGGCACCCCTGCCTTACACAGTGGGAGTTGCCAGCTGGGTTTTGTGAGTTATGTTGAATAGTCTTTTTCCATTGAGAGCAGTGACTTGGAAACACTTATAGGGCGGGGATTCAAGCGAGGATATAATTTTAGTTCACCATTTAAAGTGCATAGGAAAGCTCCATGAGGGGCCTTTTACTCCAATCCCATGTCTTCTGCCAGAACCCAAAGACCAATAGACAAATGGCCTCAGGGAAAAAAGCAGAGGCATTGAGGTTTGAACCCTTGTCAAAAACACTGCAGAACTTAGCAAGAAACTCCTCACAAGAGAGATGAGTTAGTTTTTAATACAGCTTGCGCCCATTTAACAGCCCAGTCGGCGCTGTCACATTAGAAAGAGACAAAAGACAGACAGACAACACAAAAAGCAGTGTTTCAGGTAAAGTGTGTTTTAAATATGTACTGATTTGTGTCATGAAATTACCTCTTTATCTTCTTACTGCTACAGCTGTTTTATTAATGACAAGCCACGCTGTTAAAGCAGAAAAATCTTTGTGTGACAGTGTAACATCAAGATGACCGGACATTTAGATGGGCTTGTTGGAACTTGTTGAGCCAGACTGGGGACGGCGGTTGCTGCTGGTGTTGGTTCCGGATTTGCTTTTCCTTACCTTGCAGTGGGGTGTAAGAAATCTCTCCTTCCACGCACAGTTGTCTACCTCCCCCCCACATCCCTCTGACAACTGTTACAGCAATGGTGCTGTATGTGTGTGGTTTTCTCTCGCTCCCCTTTCTCTGTTGGATTTGTCCTCCCTCTGACAGCAGGTGTTTCTCCTCATAGTCGTGGGCACAGCGTATAAAGGGGAAAAAGAGGAGAGCAAACAAAGCTGTTGGGCCTTTCAAAGCAGTGTGCACACCGTGTGTGGATTTGAGAGGACGATATCGTGTTACTTCCGTTGGAGATGGTGTCTAAATAGTGTGTTATATCACGGAGTCCGTTGTAGACGTTACAGTTTCCTTTCAGATTTTACTTCCCTTTCTCCTCTTCCTTTAGTTTTCCTGGGAAGGGACGTGACTTCAGGTTGGAGATTGTTTTAAGTTCTAGTTACTTTTATATTAATGAAACAAATAATAAATAATAAAGTAATGAGAGCACATGACACATGAGCTATAATGACTTTATTTTTTAGGGCTTGGGGGCAGTTGTGTTATCCAGAGGTTGGTGGATGAGGTTGATGACGTAGTTCCAGTCGCCTCTTCGTTGCTATTTTACCTGCACCTTAGACATTGAGGGTTTTCAGGGAGAGGCCAGCAATCATATTCTCATGTTGCATCTGTCCCCTCAATTTTATTACCACTCTAGTTTTCACACAGTCATACTCATTTACACCTCATACACTCACATACAACACATGCACAAAACAGTCGACCTTGAACACTGTCAAGTACGGAAGGGATGAGGCGGGTCTTCCTACACCACTGCTTTTTACACCCTGTCTGGGGTGAGGACATCTACCAGAGTCAGTTTAGGGTTCTGTTCAATTTCGTTTTCCATTCTTCTTCCTTCCATCTTTCACCAACCTGGCTCTAACCCACTGTCAGCTCTGGCATAATAATTAATCAGATAATAATGTGAATAATAAAATGAAATAAAAACAGATAGATAGATAGATAGATAGATAGATAGATAGATAGATAGATAGATGGAATTATAAACATAGAAAACTACCATTAGTGCAATCACGCAAAGTCCTCTTCAGTTCTTTTTGGCCTTTCAGTGCTAGAGTCAACTCTTTGGTGGAGCTTTAACCCATTGGACCTGTGCCCTATGCTTCCAGCAGCTTAATAAGCATAAAGAGGTACAGGATTAAAGAGGATAAGAGGAGAGGGAAAAGAATGAAGCAGTAAAAACAGACTGTGTGTGTTCCTTCACTATTGTCTTGTTTGTTCTCCCTCTTCATGGAGCTGGGTGACCTAAAAGAGGAGGTTGGGTGGATGAGTGGGTGGTGGCTTTGGGTGGCAGCTTGATGGACTTTTAATTAGCCAGAGTAATCAAAAGATGTCTATGAAGGAGGCAGGGAAAATAAAATCAGTATTCAGAGAATGGATTTGCTGTTTGTTCAGCGAAAGCTCAAAAATTCATAGTAAAGCCTAGAGATTCTCTAGAAACTCACTTCAACATGTTTTTAGCATGGTAATGATCTCAGCTATCAGTAGAGCTATCGGTGAAAAAAGGGAGTAGGAGTAGTGGAAAAACCCTTTTGTCATTTCTGTATAATATTAAACAAAAGTAAATGTGTGATTCTCACAATATGGATCTTAAAAATAATTTTTATATTCCAAATATGACACAGACTCAAAGTGTTTTGGTATAAAAAAAATGAACCCTTTGCTTTTGCCTGCCTCTAAATCTAACTAAAAGCTTGCAAAGAGAAAGACGTTTTCACTCTGCCTTTCAAAGATGACACATTGCACTGTATAATACAGCATGGGACTTATTTTTCGAGTGCCTAAACATACTTACCGATTCCTGATGATACTTGGCAAGGCGAAACAGTATATAATGTTTTTAAAGTTTTGTTTTTGTTTTTTTTTAATGTATCTTTGGGGTATTTCAGAGGAAAGAATAAATAATATTTCCCCTTCATTCACAATTATTAGGGGTGTAGACTAGTTTAACCAACCCTTCTTACAATGTATTTTCCACACATTTCTTTCCAGGCTTTTATTTTACTTTAGTACACTTTGTTTACAGCATATATGAAAGCCCACAACAACTGAAAAACAAAAGGATGTGAAAATTACACGTTTAGGTATAAACAAGGATTTAAACTGTTGCAGTCTATGCAAGCTTGAAAAGTTTTGTTTTTTTAAAGTTGCAGAGAAGCTGTGGTCTCTCACCCCAACCAGTTGCAGCAGATGGCCGCCCCTAACTGAGCCTGGTTCTGCCAGAAGTTTCTTCCTGTTAAAGGGGATTTTTTATTTCCCCACTGTCACAAAGTGCTTGCTCATAGGGGGTCATATGATTGTTGGGTTTTTTACTCTGTATGTATTATTGTAGGGTCTACCTTATAATATAAAGCGCCTTGAGGCGACTGTTGTTGTGATTTGGCGCTATATAAATAAAATTGAACTCAATTGAATTTTAATTTCCTTTACTTATGCAAATTTATCTGTTAACAGCATTGCAAACATTCTTGGTGAGTTGTGTAACTGCTCACACTATTGATAACTCAGTGAATCAAGGTGTTGTGTTCGTTTTTTTGCTGAGAGTAGTTCAGGAGACAATCTAGCAATTATCAGGCAGTTAAAGATTTGGCTTGCACAGCTGTGGACTTCTCAATGTCAGGCAGTCTGCACGTGGAGAAGTGAAGCACAGTTCATAATTCAAAGCATATATTAGACCAGGGGTGGGCAATCTCAGTCCAAGAGGGGCGGTGTCACCGCAAGGTGAGATCTAAAACCTGCAGGGACACTTGCCCTCGTGGACTGAGATTGCCCACCCCTGTATCAGACACATGACAACCGGAAATAATTTTGATTGGCTATTGATGGGGAGGTGCCATGGTTTAGACTTGATTTGTTCTCCTCGGGGTCCTTCCACATGACAGCAGTCATTAACCTCCAGTCAGGGATCTTGTCCTGTATGAGAAAAACCCTCCCTACCTTACAGTTGTTACCAGGGATGTTTTATTTTCATGCATGAAAATGAGCACCCTGTTATCATACACCCAAGGGCAAGCAGCCCTTCCTGTCTGATAGTGTGTTCTGTAAGCATGTAGCAATTTACCTTCACTCAACTCTTTCTATCCCTCTTAGTTATCCCTTCACACCATGGGGTTAGTGCTTATATCCATTTAATGAGGAGTGTATCAACTTCGGCAGTGCGTGGTCTGAGGTGTTGTTGCAGGGGAGATGGATGCAATCGCATGGCATCTGCAATCACGCCTCTGCCGGCATAAAAAGCTGTGCTGTCTGTTATGTTGTTGTTGTTGTTGATATGTGTCGGGCTGTGAGCGGCGGAGCTGCAGCCGACTGTTGTTGTACAGCGACCAGGAGAATAAAAGTGTTAAATAAAGAAATGCTGAAAACCATGAACTCGTCATCGGGCCTGTCGTGGTTCTGTTACACAACTCTGTATGAGCATACATTGCAATTACAGTGATTTGAACCAGATTGCGGTGTATTTTTATTTGTTAATTTTACTAGGCAATGTCTTATACTTTATATACTCTGTCCATCTTTTTTTTTTAAAGAGCCTTGATGGCAAATGTTCTTCTCACTTTCTGAATTGACAGATGGTAAGACAAAGGTTGAGAGAGAAGATCAATGAGATATGGGGAATGGGAGAAAAAACTATTGAACAGAGAAGGATAGTGTCATTAGAAAGGAACAGTGCAGCTGTCCAAACTCTTGTGTACCTGCCTAATGCTACCTCTTTCCTCCTCTCCCACTCTTTAACTCTTTTCCAAGATTCAGTTCTTGCATGCCCCCCCACACCCCACACACACACACACACACACATACAGACACGGGTGAATGAGGCAAGTTGTATAAGAACCAGTCCAGAAGCTCATGTGCTGTTACCACAAAGATACCAATGGTAACTAGAACAGACCAGCCCTTTATTGTCATTGTACAAAAGCCATCTCTCAGAGCAGTGATACCAGATCCTACAGCTACTTGTATAGCACACTAGTCTCCTCTGGTCTAATCAGTTTTCCATTAGACCAGAGGCTCATAGAGAAACAACCAAAAGAAAAACAAAACTACTGGCCTCTAAGATTGGCAAGCTCCAGTTATTGTTAGCAGGACATGAACACACCCATGAAATTCAGACTTGGTTGTGATTCAGTGGAATCAAAGGTAACCGACGCTTCCTGTGACAAAAGTTAGCTGTGGCTAAAAGTAACAGAAAAGTAGCACCAAAACTAGATTCAGTTTTTTTTAACCCAGGTGTTACTTTGGTACCTTAATTAAAGTAACAATTTATGGAAAATTATCCACCAAACTTAGTGTTTTGTGATTTAAAAGCCACAGAGATCCTGTAAATTGATAAATAACTTTACACTTCAGTGGTAATGGGATGGTGAGAAAACTGTAGAAAGAAGACATTTTAAAGAGAAGCCTCTTGTGTTTAAATACTGTTGAAAACTGTTGTTTGAGTACGCCAGTTTGTAAACCCATTCAAATGAAAATAATCGGTGAAACTAGCAGGTTTTTCAGTGTGACAAATAATTTTTCACCCGAATTTCAATTTGAGCAGCAAAATGTGTTGAATTATGGTCAGAAGGCAAAACAACTTTTATTAGATTTAGCTTGGTAGCTTTTGTGTTTGTGCTATCTCATTGCTCCTCCTCCGCACTCTGTTGGAGGAGAAACATAACTGCTAGAATGATTCAATTGCAAGGAAAAATATGTCAAACACAATTTTCCCTAAAAATGCTGCATCAATAACACTGTTCTTCCTTCCCCTTGTGCTCAGGTTGTTTGCTGTGGAGTGCAGCAACTGTCTTGGAAAGATAGCGCCCACAGAGTTTGTTATGCGAGCTCTGGACAGTGTTTACCATCTCAGCTGCTTCTGCTGCTGTGTCTGCCAGCGCCAGCTGTGTAAAGGAGATGAGTTTGTACTGAAAGAAGGTCAGCTGCTGTGCAAGACTGACTATGAGAGAGAGAGGGCCCTGCTCAGTACACTCGGTCCAGACATCACAGACTCAGGTAATATTTTATAACAGATTATTAAAGAAAAGAACTGAATCAAAAGGAACGTACCTAATTGATGACTTTATCTAGAAATGGAAAATTCCCATGCAATGCAAAAAACTGAACTCAGGTCAAATCTGCAGCAACAATTAAACAAAGGGATTAATGGAATTATTTGTGTCTGGTGACAGATAAGAGTGAGGATGAGGATGAGGATGTGAAATCAGAAAAAACCCTATCAGTCAGGAAATGCAGCAGTGACAGCAAAGAACCCCTAAGGCCCAAACGCCCACGCACCATCCTGACCACCCCGCAGCAGAGAGCCTTTAAGGCCTCTTTTGAGGTTTCTTCCAAACCCTGCAGAAAGGTGAGTAGAGGTATAGAGTATATTATAATTGTATACTGGTATATTTGAGTGAAAAAGCACATATCAAGTACTACAATTACATTGCATTTCATTTCTTACATTACATTTGAATTCAGTATCATTTCGTTTATATAGCATCAATGCTTAACAGCAGTCACCTCAAGTCTATTTCTTAGTCATAGTAGAAAAACAGTATTATGTTCTTAATAAAAGTAGCAGTTTAAATATGAAGGAAAAGGCCCCCAGACAACCAGCCAAGCAAATATTTAAAATTATTTTAACACTGAAACTTAAAAATGAGTTCCTCTACCTTTAACAACCCAAATTTAAAATGAGGAGTTGAATGAATTAACAGTTGAGACTTCATTAAACTTATTAACACATATATGCAAAGAAAATTAATATGTTTAAGCACAAAACCTTACTTATGTTGTCATGAAAATTATCTTATTTCCAAGCAACATTTTGTCATTTTCTTTTCTTTTCTTTTAAAATAGGGTTTTGTCAGTCCTGCATCGACGCTTGAGGGTTGAAACCCTGTAGAGCCTACATTGTAATAGATTATGTTGTTGTATATATGTGTGTGTTTTTATTTATACTTCTGAGCTGGTGTGTCTACATTTGTCCTCTATCAAGGGTGACACTGAGGGTAGTAGAATTTAAAGCTAATAAAAACTAGCAAATGCCTGCACTGCCAGAAAACTGGTTAATGCATTACACAGTTACAGCCCAGAAGAGTTTGTTTAATGGAAGCATGTTGGGTTTTTTTTTTAATGTATTTGTTATAATAAAAAAGTAAGAATACTAATAGTATTAATTGTTTTATTAATATTATTTTTATTAATAATAATAATAAAATAACAACGACGACGACGACGACGACGACGACGACGACGACAATAATAATAATAATAATAATAATAATAAAAAAATTTAATTGTGCTGTGATTTACAGGTAAGAGAGACCCTGGCTGCAGAGACTGGACTTAGTGTTCGTGTGGTCCAAGTCTGGTTCCAGAACCAGAGAGCAAAGGTAAGGAGCACATCCCCAAAGCTATAAGCATTTATACATTTATAACCTAGTTTCATAATTTTGTGGTTGTAACTTCTAAGCATTCACATTGTTGAACTACAGTTACAATTTTTAAATTGCTTCTTCTAAGCAAAGATAGTTAAAATGAGCCTTAACTATCTTTGTTTCACAGAAGTCTTAGTCGCTGATGGCCCCCCACATTGCATCCTCTGACAATGGGCCCTTACTGTTTATTCCCAAAAGTCCTTAGTTATGTAATCAGTTTTTCATCAGTCAAGCTTCAGTGTACTGAGAGTTTCTAATCTAATTTGTCTGGCTTGGTGGCATTTGAGAGAATAAACTCATCATAGTCTCACTAGCTACAGGGATTTTACTATTGTCCATCATCGGTCTGATGCAATACTTGCTCTTGCTCATTCATTGCTCTTGCATGTCTACTAATTTCTTCTTTGTAAATTAAAAAAACAACATAGTGTTTTAAAAATTCTAGCATGATGAATAGTCTGTCATCTGGTTCCCAATAACCTAGAAGCTTTTAAAATTTTCAAAGCTTTCTTCTGTAGCATATGAATTAGTGTGCATCCTCTCCTTGTGCCCTTGTGGGTTCTCTCGAGGTACTCCGGCTTTCCACAGACATGCATGTTAGGTTCCCTCCTTCCACAAGACATCGACACACACATAGACACAGTGGCTTACTGCTCTCCACATTCGGTGCTTGCTTTTCTAGATTTTTTACATGTATATGTGTGGATGTATGTGTTTTTTACTACTGTATGGCGAGTAGTATCTACTCAGGACCTTCTGAGTTTGGGATTACACTGTGCAAGGAACACTATGTCAGACTATCACCACTTCCACAGGATTCCGGAGAACATAATAAGAACTCCAGGCCTGCAGCAAGCCCTAAAGGAAGTGTAAACAAAGGAGGCAAAAGCGAGGCTGCAGGGTGGGCCCAGTAGCATGGTTAAAGAAAAAAACATTTAAGCCACCGCTCCCGAGTATTTGCTTCACCAACATTGGGGGTTTATGCATCTAGATCAATGACAGCTGGTCTAAAGAGACAAAAGACTGTAGACAGCCAGTGTTCTGATTTGGAATATTTGACTGTTAAATGCAGACCTATCTACATACCTTATGAGTTTACTGTCATCATGGTAACGGCCGTGTATGTACCACCCGATGCTAATGCTAACTCAACCATGGATGAGCTGTAAGCAGTCAACAGAAATCCTGGCCAGATTTCCCCAGGTTTGAACAGTATTTGATTGTGCAACAAGGTGGAAAAATACACTGGATAAAGCCTACAGCAACAAAGGCTCATACATCACGGTACTTTTTGTTGATTACAGCTCCGCCTTCAATACTGTCACTGTCACTCACTTTGTGTGTGGAAGTGGAGAGGGTGAGCAGCTTTAGATACCTGGGCGTCTACATCACAGAGGACCTCACCTGGACACTGAACACCACAAAGCTGGTCAAGAAGGCTCAGCAGTGGCTGTATTTCCTGAGGAGGCTGAGGAAATTTGGTATGTTGGCCAAGATCCTTGGCAGGTTCTACAGCTGCATTGTGGAGAGCACCCTGACCAGCTGCATCACTGCATGGTACGGCAGCACTACTGCTATGGACCTGCAGAGAGTGATAGCAGCTGCAGAGAAGATCACCAGGACTCCGCTGCCCTCTCTGCAGAGCATCTACCATCGCAGAGTCCAGAAGAGAGCTGCCTCCATCCTCAAAGACCCCACACACCCCCAACACGGACTGTTCACACTTCTGCCCTCGGGACAAAGGTTTAGAAGTGTGAACTCTAGAAGATCCCGACTCAACAACTCCTTCTTCCCCACTGCTATCAGACTCTTGAACAGCTGACCTATTTTAACTAGTAATAATAATTTTTGCACATCAGGTCATCTCATGAGCTCATAGCTCTTTTGCACATAAATCTATTTAACACTTCAATTTTTTTGCTGTCTCCACTTATTTATTCCTATTTGTATTTAATTGATTTGTACATATTAACCGATACATTGGTACAATATTGTGTAAAAGTCTTAAACTACCTCTGATTTCTTTACATTTTGCTAGAAAATGATAAATAGGAGCCGTGATTTATTGAAACATGTGCATACATGAAAATAAAGCTTCAAAACAGAAATTAGCTCACATGAGGACCGCCCAGGAAAGGAAGTCCAAGAGTCACCTCTGTGTTTTGTCTCTATGGCTGTCTGCTTTAGTGGTCTTATCAAGCTCCTATGTGGCCCTGCTTCACATGACACAGTCCTCTTTACTGTATGCTGTAATGCTGCCCCACACTCATACCCGGGCAACGGGATTATTTTTTAAAACGAAAACGGAAAATCTCCGTTTTCAAAAATACCCGTGTACGTGTGGACGTAGCCTCAGTCTCTGACTGGAAGCGCTAATTCGTCATTCGGCTTTTGTCAGACTAAAGTAACTGTTAAAACTGTTTGAAAAGCTAAGCTATACAACAAGGAGAGATTGAGAATTTCCTTTTAGTTCTCAGTTTATTTGATATTGACAAAAGTTAGTCAGTTTTGTCTGTTCTTCTGTAAAACAAACTAAGATTTATTTTTAGAATTAATATTTTGTTTCTAAGTGGAATTGACAATTTAGTCTGTTTCGTTTGTTCTATTTTGAAACTTAAACGCTTTAATGGCTGCCTTTTGTGTAGTTTGCAATATTTGCCTTTATTTATCTGAAAAAGTCTCATGTTCCTTAAGTACATCTACCCTGTTGAACTTATTATGGGAAATAAATATTTAAATAAAAACAAGCTGCTGATTATTTCACATTTTACTTGTGAGCAACGGCACATTTAAATCTTACAAATATAGTTATTTGGCTTATATCGTGATAGATATCGTTATCGCCTGAAATGAAAAAAACATATCGTGATATGAAAAATCTCATATCGCCCAGCTCTAGTTGCAGTTATGAGCTGCAAGTAACAAAGTACCTAAAGTGCTAACTATGTCCAAAAAATATCTTTGAAAGACCTTAAGAACATTGCTTAGAAAAATTACTGGTCCTTAGAACCACAATATAAAGAAACAGCACAAGACTTTGCACAGTATTGCATGTGTGTTTTTGGTTGTGTGTGTGTGTCTGCTTGTTTGCCTGTCAGTCATGTATCAAACTGTTTGCTATTTATTTATTTGCAGATGAAGAAGTTAGCCCGCAGACAACAGCAACAGCAGGAGCAACACAACAGCCAAAGGCTAGGCCAAGGTAAGGATTTATCTTTGTTTGCATTTCCAGTTCCTTTTTTTTGCTACTTTTCTCTAATGTAGCAAAATGAAACGCGCCACCACTGACGTCCTTCTGCGTCAGTGGGGCAGAAGGACATTAGAAATGTAACTGTCATTACAATCTGTCCTTTAGAATTCTAATAACAGCGATTCCAGAAAGCTAGGTGATTCATCAATAATTTGGAGAGACAGCTTGAAATATTAAATTTTTTATTGGAACAATAAAAAGAGTAAAGTCACTCAGCAAACACTCCCAGTTTTGTAGTTTTTAGCACGCCCCATGTTGTGAAACCAGAATTTCATCTCTGCTGGTAAATATGAGTTTTTCAACAGCAGAGCTATAAAGCGGGAGCTGAGATTCTCTCTGCAATATAGTTCCACATGGCTAGTGGGCTTATTGCCACTGTGGTCTCACAGTGGATATGAACAGACAGTTTAGATAAGTGTCTCACTGGTTTGGCAAGCACTGCTTCTGTCTGTTCAGGGACTTCCAGCATGTCAATATTGGCATGGCAACAGGGTTTATTAGAGTCGAAGCCGCTGCTGTTAACCAAACGAACTAAGCAACCCAGCAGCAAGCAGCCGGTTGTTTGAAGGTGAGATTAGCAAATGAAATGTTAGGTGAGACATCTTTAAGATCAAACAGCCAATGATAATGATGATTTATTTGTTTCTATGTAAGACACGTTGTTGTACAAGAACATTTTAACATTGGTGTGCTGCTTAAGTCCTGCAGGAGAATAGATCAATAAAATAGAAAAGGAAAATGAAAGAAACAGCTACTTCAAAAAAACAGACAATAATGTCACTGTGTTGTATAATATCAGGATAAAATGTCAGATCTAAACTGACAATTTTATTTGTGTATTAACCTCTATACGATATACAATATTTACATGTCTTTTCAATATGTCTGGCACTTCTATATTCAGCATCCTTTGCGCAATATATCCACTATCCTTTTCACAAACCCAAACCATCTCAGCTGTGCCTCTTTCTCTCCAGACTGCTCAACCTGAGCTGACATAGTGATATACTAATTTCTGAAGATAAATACAAGTCTAAACAAGTAGTCAAAGAACAGCAAAAAATTTTTGGTGTTAACTGAGGTAGTAGTAGTAACTAAGGAGGTAGAAGGTGAATATAACCAACTGGTAACTTAAAGAAATAAAATGGACATTTGCAAGATAAAGGTTTGATAAGATGTTCAGTTAATCTCTTACTTCTGGTTTCTTTTGTTTGTCTTTCTAAATAAGTTGAACAATTCCCTGCACTTTTTCCAACCTATATTTTAAATAGAACATTGATAATAACAGAACTTTGTTAGCAGCGGCTCAGGTTATGTATAATTTGTAATAAAAGATTATTAAACTCTCTCTACATGGTCCTTTTTTTACTTGTTTATATCTTCTTCTCTAATTTTGACAGGTATTGACTTCATCCATGACATTGACAGTGAGACCTCTCTGACAAGTCTAAATGATTGCTTCTTGGCCACTCCAGATGAAGCCTCTTTACATGAAAGGGTGGGGAACACCATTGACTGTCTTCACTCCATGCAAAGCTCATACTTCTTAAGACACATCATCAGTTTCAGTTCTTCTCAGCCCACCATACCTCCTACCAGGCTGTGGACGGTGAGCCCACAATAGTGCAGACAAAAGGCACAGAGTCTACTTGGCCATAAGACACAAAACAGCAAGCAACTAAAAATGACCAAGGCCAACCAAATACACCAGACTAACCTCTATCCAAGGAAAGGCGCACCTAAAGCAGATTCTGGACTCCTTTGTTTCTCAAAAGTTGTTTTGTTGCAGTGGGATTGCCTTTTAAGCTATTTTCTTTTTGGTGGACAGGCGGTTAATTAGGATAATAACTAGTTGAGTCCTGTTTCATAGCAAAATGTAATAGTATTGAAAGTGTTAGTTCATAGCCGTGTATGTGTAATTTTACTAGCTGGCTGAAATGAGATGACTGGCTGAGAATGACTGGTTTACTGGTGGGTCAGTGATGATCCAGGAAGGCATATTCATGTTATCACACCTCTATTGGCTAAGCAATGCCACTATTAGGTATCAGGATGAAATCCTTAGACCCACTGTCAGCCCCTACGTTAGTACAATGGGTCCTGGGTTCCTCCTGTTGTGTGACAATGCTCGGCCTCATGTGGCAAGAGTATGCAGGCAGTTCCTGGAGGATGAAGGAATTGTTATGGTGGTCCCAACACTCACCTTTTTAAATCCATCCTCTTGGACATTATGTTTCTATCCATCTAACACTGACAGGTTGCACCTCAGACTGTCCATGAACTCAGTGATATGCTGTTTCAGAGCTGGGAGGAGATCCCACTGGACATGATTTATCATCTCATTACTTACTGTAAAAGCATGCCCTGATTTTGTCATGGCATACAAACTAATGAGTATCATTCTGAGTTATCGCAATAGAATTGCAACAAAATGGACTAGCCTGCCATCATTTGTTAACTTCAATTTTCACAGTGATTTTGACTTCAGCCCTCTGTAGCTTGATAGTCCATATTACTATGGATACCCAACATGATTTTTTCCCCATTGAGGTAAAATATATTTTCAACACGTTCCTTTATTATTTTTTTAAGCAGTGTATATTTATTGGACAAGAATAATAATGCTCTGTACTAATATTGTAAACATTTTGCAGTTTGTCTGTTCTGAACTAGTTCAACTTAAAGATTTATTGAAGTACTTCAAACAGTGTCTCAGAAGCACAGAGCTTTGTGTTTCTCTATGTGCTGCTCAGTAAAGATACCCGAATAATACTGTAAGTTGTTCTAAAGGAGAAGTTAAGCAAATATTATATTTTTGTTATGTGAAGTATTATGTGAGCCAGCTGATTGATACCCATTGTTGAAGGTATATAGTATTCCATCTACAGTGGGGCAAAAAAGTATTTAGTCAGCCACCGATTGTGCAAGTTCCCCCACTTAAAATGATGACAGAGGTCAGTAATTTGCACCAGAGGTACACTTCAACTGTGAGAGACAGAATGTGAAAAAAAAAATCCATGAATCCACATGGTAGGATTTGTAAAGAATTTATTCGTAAATCAGGGTGGAAAATAAGTATTTGGTCACCTCAAACAAGGAAAATCTCTGGCTCTCACAGACCTGTAACGTCTTCTGTACGAAGCTTTTCTGTCCCCCACTCGTTACCTGTATGAATGGCACCTGTTTGAACTCATCATCTGTATAAAAGACACCTGTCCACAGCCTCAAACAGTCAGACTCCAAAGAGCTTTCGAAGGACACCAGGAAAAGTATTGTAGACCTGCACCAGACTGGGAAGAGTGAATCTACAATAGGCAAGCAGCTTGGTGTGAAAAAATCAACTGTGGGAGCAATCATCAGAAAATGGAAGACATACAAGACCACTGATAATCTCCCTCGATCTGGGGCTCCACGCAAGATCTCATCCCGTGGGGTCAAAATGATCATGAGAACAGTGAGCAAAGATCCCAGAACCACACGGGGGGACCTGGTGAATGACCTGCAGAGAGCTGGGACCAAAGTAACAAAGGTCACCATCAGTAACACACTACAACGGCAGGGAATCAAATCCCGCAGTGCCAGACGTGTTCCGCTGCTGAAGCCAGTGCATGTCCAGGCCCGTCTGAAGTTTGCCAGAGAGCACATGGATGATACAGCAGAGGATTGGGAGAATGTCATGTGGTCAGATGAAACCAAAGTAGAACTTTTTGGTATAAACTCAACTCGTCGTGTTTGGAGGAAGAAGAATACTGAGTTGCATCCCAAGAACACCATACCTACTGTGAAGCATGGGGGTGGAAACATCATGCTATGGGGCTGTTTTTCTGCCAAGGGGACAGGACGACTGATCCGTGTTAAGGACAGAATGAATGGGGCCATGTATCGTGAGATTTTGAGCCAAAACCTCCTTCCATCAGTGAGAACTTTGAAGATGAAACGAGGCTGGGTCTTCCAACATGACAATGATCCAAAACACACCGCCCGGGCAACAAAGGAGTGGCTCCGTAAGAAGCATTTGAAAGTCCTGGAGTGGCCTAGCCAGTCTCCAGACCTCAACCCCATAGAAAATCTGTGGCGGGAGGTGAAAGTCCGTGTTGCTCGGCGACAGCCCCAAAACATCACTGCTCTCGAGAAGATCTGCATGGAGGAATGGGCCAAAATACCAGCTACTGTGTGTGCAAACCTGGTAAAGACCCATAGTAAACGTTTGACCTCTGTTATTGCCAACAAAGGTTATGTTACAAAGTATTGAGTTGTATTTTTGTTATTGACCAAATACTTATTTTCCACCCTGATTTACGAATAAATTCTTTACAAATCCTACCATGTGGATTCATGGATTTTTTTTTCACATTCTGTCTCTCACAGTTGAAGTGTACCTCTGGTGCAAATTACTGACCTCTGTCATCATTTTAAGTGGGGGAACTTGCACAATCGGTGGCTGACTAAATACTTTTTTGCCCCACTGTACATATACTATTCTTGAAGAACATGCATTTTTGCATGTTAGAATGGACTAAGTTATTTATTTCTCACCAGTATGCACATACAATAAATAAAGAAGGTTCTATTTAAAAAATACAATATCATCCTGTTTTAATCTATTTATCATACTATATACATTGTTCATATTCTGTGTTTAGTGTGACTTTGCTATTTATTTTTTTCCAATGGGGTCAGTTAGAAATGATCAGGGATGCATTTTAAATTTGCTGCTTTACTAAGTGTTGGTACTTAAAATAAACAATTAATTGCCTTGAATTCTTATCTACTTATTTTTTTTTATTCCTTGAGAAACAACTAATGCTCTTTTTATTTAAACACATTTTAAGCTATATTGTCAAAGTCATAAAAGTAGTGTAAAAGCACTCTGAGTGCTCAGCAAGGCTAGAGGTGCAGAAAAATAGTCAAATATGCTTGGGGAAGGTTGCTAACTGAGATAAGTGACTTGGAATTATCTGCATGGTAGCCATAATGACAGCTGGTTAAGTTCTTTCAATAATATTTTTTTTTTAAAAATCCTTAAGTACTTCGTTTGTAACCTCCTTTAGTATAGGATACACTGATCCATTTGCTTCCACTTGTCCTTTTCAGGGGCGCAGGGGGCGCTGGAGCCTATCCCAGCTGTCATAGGGCGAGAGGCGGGGTATACCCTGGACAGGTCGCCAGTCTGTCGCAGGGCTAACACACAGAGACGGCCCAGCATTCACACTCACTCCAGAATTCCCACCTATGGGCAATTTAGATTGATCAATTAACCTATCCCCACCAACTGCATGTCTTTGGACTGTGGGAGGAAGCCGGAGTACCCAGGGAGAACTGACGCAAACACAGGGAGAACATGCAAACTCCACACAGAGGAACCCTGATGGTCAAATTAAACTCAGGACCTCCTTGCTGTGAGGCAACAGTGCTAACCACCGTGCTGCCCTCCAGAGGTTCAGACAATTAGGGAGGTGATGCTAAATGGATAGAACATTGAGTTCAGCCTCTGACATTGAAAGGTCGAAGGCAGGAGAATAAACCAGCTGTTCTCCACAGAACCAGCCAAGGTGTACTCTCAGTGGCAGGGGAACAATATGAGAACAGCACCACCAAACCTGGAGATGGAGCAATACTGAAAGAGCATATGGGAGAAGGATGCAACCCATAACGGTAATGCTCAGCGGCTAATGGATCTGAGGGCAGACCACAGCAACCTCCCCGAACAGGGTCCAGTAACCATCACAGTGGCAGACATCCAAGAAAGAGTCTCCAGTATGAAGAGTTGGACAGCACCAAGCCCAGACATGGTTCACGCCTACTGGCTGAAGAAGCTGACTGCACTCCACGAGCA